CCTCTAGCCCATCCTATTTTACTGCAGCTAGTTTCCAGACTCTTGATGATTTTGGGCAGTGGAACAGGAGGTGCTCTATGGTTTCATTCTCTTCCCCACAAGTTTTACAGATTGGATCAAACACTTTGAGCCTGTGGTTGAGAGCATTATTAACTGCCACGGAGTTGTTAAAGCATTTCCAGACAAAGTGTTTTAGTTTCCCTGCTACCCTTGTAGACCAGATCATGTTTCTTGCTCTTAGTAAGTCTTTGGCTTGGGAACTACTGCCTGGAATATCTAGCTTTCTCCACTTCTCCTCCACCAAGGTTTTGTAGACCTCTGCCACAGTTACTTTTCCAGAAGGGTTGTGCATCCATAGGAGCTTGTCCATAGAGTTAGGGTCTATTTCTTTGATCTTGAGGATGGCTTTACCCTCCTCAGTAGGAAAGGCAGATTGCACAAGGTCCACATTACAATTTCTACCTGTTTCATCCATTAATTCTTGCACCTAGGTAAGCCTGCTTTGCCAGGGGTTGAGGGGTTTAGGTTTGTGAGAAGGGAGGGAGGAGATCCATGGGTTGTTCCAGATGTTTGTGATAGCTCCATTGTTTATTCTGAAAATCACATTTTGGGAAAAGAAGTTTGTGGTTTTTCTCCAGCTGGCCCAGAGCCAAGAGGCATTGGTCTTATGCTTATTGGCTCTGGGCCAGCTGGAGAAAAACCACGACTTGCTATTCAAAAAGGTCCCAATTCGAGCACAAGTCCAGGACTTTAAGATTGATCTTTATGCCCTACCATTGAAGGCAACTGATGTGGTATTGGGAGTTCAGTGGTTGGAGATGCTTGGACCCATCACCACCGATTACAAGAAAGGAACGATGGAGTTGGGCGGGCTAAGAAGCGAATTAAGCTGCTAACCGAGGACCCGGGAGAGTCACTTGATGAGGAAGATGAGAGGGTAAACTAGTTCAACTTTATTATCCTTGAGGACAAGGAAATTCTCGAAGAGGGAGGGAATTATGAAGATATGGTCATCGACCCTACTGACCCCGAGAACGAGTACCACGATGACCAAGAGTAGGGCCCGTGT